ATCTCACAGCTACCCTGTGCTTCTGCTGCTGGGCTTTTCAAATTGGCTCCAAGAATTTGCTCCCCTAAAAAGTTCTGCTCTGCTTCACAGTTTGGAGGTGTGGGGTGGGTGGGTTTTTTGTTGGTGAGGAGAGGGAGAAAAGTAAGGGGAATGGGCATGCTTTGTGTGCAATGGGAGCAGGGATGGGGTGTGATTCTGTGTGCAGGCTGCAGAGTGAGTGTTGAAGTCAGTAGACAATTATTCCTGTTCATAGTAATAAGGATGCTGTCTGGTTATTGGTTAATAAGCATGAGTAGAGCAGTGTTACAGTGCTGACTTTTGTTGCCTTAAAGACTCCCCTCCCGTAGCAAGGATGGTTTCTGTGCCTCTGTTGTTCTGTGAGCTGGTTGTGATTTGGGTGTGAGTTCTGTCTTTGCAGTCAGTCTGTTGCTGCTCACCCCTTACCATCCAAACCAGCGGGCTCTCACTGTGGCTGCTGTGCTGCAGCCCTCTCAGCCTGCCAGCTCAGCTCTCCTGTCCCTCTGCTGCTGCAGGCTCTTTTGCTGGCACACTGCTGTGGCTCTCCTGGCTGTTCTCATCTCTCCACACCTTACTCACGTGTGTCTGTACTGCCACAAGGGATCAGGGCTGAGCTGCTGTCTTGCTCACATGGAGCATTTCAGGCCGGCCCATCCCTCACAGCGCAGTGTTCTGCTGCAGTCTGACCTAACGCTGGTTTGATTCTGGCTTTGTGAGGCATGGATGGGAAGGAATCTGGGTAACATCTGACCATTGAATAAAAGCTAAGTGCAAGTAAAATGTATGCAGCCTGTTCAAACTTTCAGTTAGAGGTGGAAATTCTAAAGCTGGGGTAAGGCTGAGTGCCACGCAGAGCCATGTGCTCAGGGCAACAAGGGCTGCTCCTTCTGCTGTTCTGCAGCACAAATTGCTGATCAGTTTTCCAAGCGTGGACTCCCAGTGAATTTCTCTGTTGCAGAAGGTGCTGTCAGGGGGTGTCTTCAACCAAAACACGCATTAAGCATCTGTTCCTCCATTTTTAAAGATCTCCTTCCCTAAATACTATAGGAGGCTCGCCTCCACCGTTAGCTTTGTCTTTTGTATAGCAGGGAATATTTGAATTCCATTTAGCAAACTGACTTTCAAACTTTTTCAGAAATTCTGACTGAAGTAGTGCATGGTATGCAATGTCACTTCTGTGAATAGCATCTCGTGTTCCCTATCTTTAGACAACTTCATGTCACGTTGGGGGTAGGGGAAACTGTTAATAGATTGACTGCAAAGGAACTGATCTAAATACCAGCAGATCGTAACCTGAATTCTCACTCTGTTTGTGTCTTTGAATAAATGACATTACAGGTTGCTGTTTGTGTGATGTGATGCTCACGTCTGCGTCCAACGCATCCCTATATGAAGTGCTAAATAAACACTATCCTGCTGTATTTCCACTGCACCATTTAAATAAAGCCTACTATGAACAGCAGCTCTTCTCTTCTTAATTCTTATTCCACACTTTGGATTATAATGCAGTGAAATAACTGTTACACAAGGGCTGTGCTGTGGGCAAGACTTGGTATTGATTGGAGACTGCAGTCTGGGGCAGGGATTGGTGCTTGGACACAAGCAAACTGCTGGGGAGCTTTGGAGAAGAGCGGGGAGGCCGTCGCTCTGTGGGAGTGCTGCCATCTTCCTGGCCATTTCAGCAGTGCTGGCCTTCAAGAAAATCCTGAGGATTGTCACATCCTCGCACGGTGTGGGGGCACCTGCACAGGGCTGTGCCTGGGGCTGGCAGTGCACAGCGGGAGCAGCAGCCATATGCAGCTCTGTGGGTTCTGTGCTGTGCAGGGAAGAGCCCAGCACGGCCGGTCCTGCAGTGCATCCACCTTCCCAGACCTGCAGGAAGCTTTTGTCCTTCTAAACCGCTGCATGGAGCTCACCTGTTGGTTATTGGATTGGTCTCACTGTGTAAAAGCCAAAATAGGATTAAGATGGCAATTAAAGAACAGAAATTCCACTGTTTGAAGTTTTCCACAGTTCAGAAGCCCATGCTGTTGTCTGAGACTGCAGTGAAAGCATTTAGTGCTGAACTTGGAGCAGACTGACGTAGCACAGTGAGCGGCACAGGGAGACCTGCGTGGAATAAATAAGATTTGTTTTCCGTGACTGTCATCAGGGTTGGCTGGAAAGGATTACTGGGGATGACTCGGAGCAGATGTTCTCCAGTAAACTTGGAGTGAATTAACCCAGGCCAGTCAGCCTTCACCACACGGGAACAGCATGGGGTCATTTGGAATGCAGTGTGAATTATTTGTAGTTGTTTGCTGCGGGGTCCTGGGACTGCTTTGTGGGAGGCTTTGTTTTGGGGCAGCAGTGATAGGTTGCAGTGGAAGCAGACAAAGGCAAAATAGAAACGAAAGCACTGTGCAAGTTGGAGGCAGGGAGTTGTGCAACTGCACTCTTGCACTGTCTGCAGAGAGGTTGCCCAACTCCCCCTCCACTGTGCTGCTGCTTTGCCTGCTGTGTGCCAGTTAGCGTTTCTAATAACTGTGTGTGTGAATAAATGCTCCTTCCTGCTGCTGCTCACAATTGGGTGATGTCCTGATAGGTTTGGTAACTTTGTGCTCCTGTCAGTGTGACAATGAGTGTTCTGAAGCCAGTAACTGATGCTCTAAGGGAAAGGCCCTGCTGTGCGATGCGGATGTGCTGCTGTTACCTTAGTAGGTGCCTTTGTCTTAGAAAGGTGGTACTTGAGGCCTTTTGGAGCCTTTGGAGGCCTTTTTTCATCGCAGCTTTCGACTGTACCATGAGAGACTTCCTGCTCTGTTTTGTTTTGAAATAATCTCTGTGCCAGTTTGGGTGAAGCACTCCAGAATGACGACCCCAAACTCGTGGGGGAGGATGGAAGTTGTTGATGGAAGTTTCTGCTTTTGTTTTTGAGAGAGCACCCAGCTTCGTGTCAGTCAGAGCACGAGGAGAGGAGGAGCTCCCGCAGTGTGTGGCTGTCGGTGCTCCTTGCACTGAGCACTTCAGCACGACGGCGTTTTCCAGTGGTTACAAATGTGTGAAGAATCCCAGAAGGGCGTCCTGTGCTGCCCTGTTGCTGAGCTGTTGGCACAGCTGTGGTGTGAGGCAGCTTTTGCTGTCAGAATTGGCCCCATGTGCATGTCAGAGGAGGGGATGGAGCATCTATCAGACGTGGGGTGGGCCTGGGCTCTGGTTGGTGATGGAGCGTTTGGGCACAACCATTGATGGGTATCTCAGTATTCTAAAACAAAGGCGAAGCAGTTACTGGAAATTCCCTGACCATTTCATCTTGCTGTAGGTGTGTGTATATATGAGCATATTGCTTTTCCCATCTTGACCTTTTGATAAGTCCCTTTTTTGCCATCAGTTTGTCATTGAGATGTTATTTGGGGATTACCAGTAACTGCAGAACTGATTGTCCTGATTACTGGCGTGTTCAATGCTCAGAGCTTTCCTGCACCCCTGTAACTCTTATTCTGAAAGATGTGTTGAGAAAGAGAACATCATCAGCTGTTCTAAATGCTCTGATTCCAGAAGCTTTGGGGGAGCTGAATGGTGTCATGTGTTGCTTAAACTGCAGTCCTAAACCTTTCTGGGCACTGAAGGAGTGCAAGGTTCACTCACACTCGGTGCACTGAAATGAAATTGTAAGTGCTAAAATACATCAACGTGTGCTGTTGCTGCTTTAAACCTTAAGAGGAGCATTCCCAGCCCCGAGCTGGGCGGTGGGGCTTCAGGTATCTGCAGGGGCATCCAAGGGCAGTGAGAAATTCAGCTTTGAGTTCAGCTTTGTTGGTTTTACAGCCTGAGTTAGGATCACTCAAAGCCTACATGGACTTAAAAAATACTTTGGAAAGTATTTTCCAAAAATCAGGGAAAACGTTTTATTGTTGGCTGCTTTATCCAAGTGCTGCCGACCTGAGGCAGTCCTGGTAAAGCCTGGGATTGGCAGAAGGGTGGGGGTGGTGTGGAGGAGCTGAGCCCTACACATTTACACTCCTTAAAAAGAAGGATCTGGCAGTGCTGTGTGGTGCAGCTCTGGGATCCCATGGGATCCCCGCAGAGGTTCTGTGGGAGATTTTCCATGGGTGCCGTTCGTGTCCAGTTGAGTCACAATGCAGTTAAGCAATAAATGAGGTTCAGTGATTCACATTTTCCTCCTCTTATCATTTAAATCCATCTACAAAGGTGAGTTAGAAATTCCAGGTTTCAGTGCCGTTAGCATCAGGTAATGGAAACGTGGATCTGAGTTCTGGCAGAACCTATTAATATCACACGTGGATCTGCAGATCTGCCTGGAGCCGTGCACACAAATGTTGCAGTGAAGCCCATCAAAAATCTGCTACGTGCTTTGTTAACGTGAAATGGATTTCTGACGTTCTCCTCGCTGCCTTACAGACTCATGCAGTGCGATTCCTGCACCAGTGCAGCCTTTAAGGCTGACGGAGCCGGGTGTCTGAGGACCCCTACCGGGCACAGCCTGCACCGCCTGCGTGGTGTTCGGGGCAGTTCGTTCCTCGGTGTGGCTGCACGGAACTTTGCAACTTGAGCAAAATTAAACGAAAGAGACTTATGTAAATGTAAGGCAGTGCTGACAGCTGAATTCTACAGTTCTGATCCCACTGGTTGCTCTGCTCAGCCCACTTAATGCTGAAGTTTCCTTCTAGGCTGTAGGACAAGTAACTGATGCCTTGACTGAGGGCTGAGAACTTTCCTGGTTAGCTCACTGATTTTTTTTCCTGCTATTTCATTTAGTTTTATGTAAGTGTGTGTTTGTTACAGCTCCTTCAGTTTCCAACTAGGTCAGCAAAGTGTCCTTGTCCCTATTTTTTGAACAGTCTGCTCCCTAAAGCTAGACAATGTGATAGCAGCTTTGTGATTAATGTTTCCAGCAATTATAAAGAGGAAGGTCTTAAATCGCATTTGATAACTGAGACCTGTACATGAAATGTGCAGTGACTTTGTCTTCCTTATTGCAGATCCATAACATGGTGGCAGTGCTGGAAGTGATCTCCAGCCTGGAGAAATACCCCATTACCAAAGAGGCACTTGAGGTATGTCGCCATCTGAGCATCGCTTGATTTTCTGGTGTGAATACAAGGACTTTCTCTGCCTGTCTGATTTCCACAAGAGCTTTCCTTGAAACAATAGATTGATTGTGGAGGATTCACAATTAAGATATTATTGTGTCCCTCTCATGCTGCTTCTGCCATCTCAGTGTGTGCAGCACTCCTCTAGAGGTTCAGCTCGGTGTGTTGTGCAGCCTGGTTTTTATAAGGCGCTGTATTAATCATTAATTGCTGCTTATTAATTCTTTGCATCCATTGACATCGCTCTGCTGCTGAAGTACTGATCACCTTCTTAGCTGTTTGGTGACCACGCAACAAAGAGTCTGACATGGAAGGAACGAAGTCTCTCTGTGTCTATAAACTTAAGATCTTAATAAAATCTTTGAATGTAGTTCAGCTTGTTCCAATGCCTGAACCTGGTTGGTGTGACCAGATGTGTTAGGAGCTGATGTACCACTGAGATGGCAGCTGCAGGCTTTCTGGCCACTCTTAAATAAAGAGCCCAAAGTTCATAAGGCTGAATTATATAGGGGCTTTCAATCAATATAGAAATTGCTGGTGTTATTTGCTTTTAATTATCTTTTATAACCTCTGGCTGTTTCCCCTGGACTCAGGTAGCTATAGGATGATTTGAGATGACTTCCAATGCTGTAAGTAATCAGTACTGTGAGATAGGCTGTTAGTAAGCACTAATATAATGCCAATGCAAATAATTATTGTGAAACATGGGTTGTGATATTCAGAAATAATTAGTGTTAAATAGTTATGGTGAGCCTTAGATATTGGCTGAGTGCTCCTGTGGTGCCACGTGGCAGACAAATCTTAATGAATGGATCTCAAAACAACTGGGATTCCAGTGCACAGCAATATGAAAAGAGATGTGCTGTGCCAGTGCTTTACCTTTGAGTTCATAATGGACCAAAATACACTGGAAATGCATTTCTGTTGGGAGTCACACGGCCATTCTGTAAACCCCAGATGCAATACCAAGATGACTGTTTTCTAGTTGGAGAAGTTGAAATCCATCTTGATTTTTGTCAAGTCAGTTTGTGTTTTGGTACAGATACCACAGAATAGTACGTATTTCTCGCTGAATCCAGTCTGTCTTCCTTTGAAGTGCTTTTCTGAAGTAATCTGACTTGCAGAACAATTCTTTGCTTTCAAGCATGTTTTGGTAATGATCACGTTGCTTCCTTTCGCTTATGGAAGCATGTTGGGACATCTTAGGAAAGCTCAATTCTTGGTCTTTCAAGATAGGGAGCAAAGAGGGCAGAGGAGGAAGATAGGACATAAATCACACTTTGTCTGATTTGTGGAATGGAGATTTATATTTGCCTGTTACAGCAACACGTGGAGAAGATTCTGGATTTTCAACGCTCTCCTCTTTCTCAGGTCTCAGTTTCATTGTAATTCATGCACTTTTTTCCACCCTGAATGCTGCCGTTCCCTCACATCAGAGCTTTCACCTCTGTTCTCAAAATTCTTGTGGATTTAAAAATTCCTTTCTGATGTTTTCACAGCTAATGACTGTGGTGCCTTAGCCAGGGAAGAAGGCTTCAAACCAGCAGTAGGTTTCGTGCTGTGTGGCACAGCATAGAACAAGAGGGGTTAACCCTTCCAAAAAGATTAATTTGGCTCTTGCATCTCTAGCATTTTGTACCAGGTATTTCTTAGGGTAAGCATTAAAAAGCAGGAATTTACCTTAAAAAAGGAGTCAGAACTTTGTTTCGGATCATTCCTGTTTGTAAAACAACTTTTGTTTTTTTTCTAGGAAACAAGGCTTGGGAGGCTTATCAATGAGGTGAGGAAGAAAACATCCAATGAGGAACTTGCCAAACGTGCCAAGAAATTGTTGCGGAATTGGCAAAAGTTGATAGAACCTGTAACCCCGAATGAGGCGGTGCCAAGAGGGCTGCAGAATCCGCCCGGATCAGCAAATGGTGGTGCTCACAACTGCAAACCAGAAGCGCCCCTTCCTGCCGTGGCTGGGTCAAAACCCATCAGTGAATTGAAAAGCAGGAACGATATCCAGAAACTAAATTCTCCAAAACCAGAGAAATTGGGAAATCGGAAAAGGAAAGGTGAACATAGGGATGGGCATCAGGGCCCTCCTCCCCCGAAAGTCTCCAAAGTTAGTCATGAAATATTACAAAACTCTTCACCCCCTCCAACAAACGGAATTGGAGGTAGTCCCGAGAATTTTCCTAGTCCTGTAGATGTAAATCTACATGCAGGGCCTGAAAGCAGCAGGACAGAACTTAGTGAAAATGATAAACACAATAAGATCCCAGTAAATGCTGTAAAACCTCACACCAGTTCTCCAGGACTCGTAAAACCTTCAAGCACTTCCTCCTTATTAAAGACTGCAGTGCTTCAGCAGCATGATAAATCGGAAGAAACCTCCGGGTCGCACCAACCCAAGAGTCCGCGCTGCTCCTCGTTTAGTCCTAGGAATGTCAGGCACGATGCGTTTGCGCGGCAGCATACCACATACTCACCAAAGGATTCAATGCCTAGCCCATCTCAAAGGTCTCAGTTCTTAGATACTGCACAGGTGCCATCACCACCACCATCCTTGATGCAACCATCAACACCTCCAATGCCAGCGAAAAGACTGGAGTTCTCTCAGCAATCAGTATCTGAGGTGTCTCAGCACTGGCAGGAGCAGCAGGTACCTTCTGACAGCCAGCACAGGCACACAGCAGGGACACTTCCACAGCACACATCTCCCAGTTGCAAAACCAGCTCCCACCCGGGGGAATCTCTCGTGTCGCACATTGGCTTTTCACAGGACGCTTCAAAAATGGACAGTGATGATGCTGCTTCAGGTTCAGATAGCAAAAAGAAGAAAAGGTACCGACCTAGAGACTATACAGTCAACTTGGATGGGCACGTGACAGAAGGGGGTGTGAAACCTGTGAGATTAAAAGAGAGAAAGCTCACTTTTGATCCCATGACAGGACAGATAAAACCTTTAACACCGAAAGATCCTTTGCAGGTAGAAATCCCTGCACTTACTGAACAGCACAGGACAGAAACGGAAAAGCAGGAGCAAAAACCCAACCTGCAAAGCCCCTTTGAACAAACGAACTGGAAAGAATTGTCCAGAAACGAAATAATTCAGTCATATTTAAACAGACAGAGTAGCTTGCTGTCTTCATCAGGAGTACAGACTCCAGGAGCTCACTACTTTATGTCTGAATATTTAAAGCAGGAGGAAAGCACTAGAAAAGAGGCTAGAAAGACTCACGTTCTAGCTCCTAACAGCAAACCTACAGACTTGCCTGGGGTCACGAGGGAGGTCACGAGTGATGATCTCAACAGAATACGTGAACATAACTGGCCAGGCGTGAACGGTTGTTATGATACACAGGGTAACTGGTATGATTGGACACAGTGCATATCTTTAGATCCACATGGGGATGATGGTAGATTGAACATCCTGCCTTACGTCTGCCTAGACTGAGTACAGGTTTGCTAAAATGCTTTTACATTTGCAGTTAGCAAGAATGGCAGACACTATGCCACTTAAAGATGGAGAAAGCCTCCTGTCCTGGACAAATAGGCCCAACGAGCAGAGGGTGAGAGGGAGCTGGTTATGTACAGCTCTTCCCTTTAAATTCTCCTTTTGTGAAATGCTGCTACCAGTTTACTAACAATTGCAAAGGAAGGCATACGAAGGTTGAGAAAACTGAGTTCAAAACTCTATAGCGAGCCAGCTATAAAAAAGTGTTAGTCCCCAAAAGCGAAGATGATTTCCAGCACTTTCTGAATGCCGGAATCTGACTACAGGCAGGTACAGAGAAAATTGTGGAAGTTACCATAACAAAATATGCATCTATTTATTTGACTTGATTTGGGTTTTTATTTGGCAGTGAGATATTCAAGAGACGATGTGCAAAAACTGTAGTTTTATTTGTATCGCATCTCTGAACATGATTGTGTTTTTAAAGTCATGTGGTACGGAGATTGGGTTTTAAACAGCAGGTGTTGCACTGCAGGCTGGGAGACCAGCTTCAGCTCAACATTCCATGGGCATCCACATATTTCAGTCTGGTTTCAGTTTAAATCCAGTCTCTGAGAAATGCTGCAAAAACTAGATGTTTAATGACATTTTGATCCCACCACCACCACCAGCCAAATATTTTTCCTCCTTTTCCCTTCCTGCAAACTTCTAGGAAAAAAAAAAATCACCTTTTCTAGAATTTAAATGTAACGAGGGTGCTACAAGTTCGTAACTGTACTGTGAGAGGGAAAAAGGAAGCCTGTTTGTATGCTGGAAATATACTTGTTACCATTCCTTTAGATATTGTTTGCCTTATGGATATCCATCATAAACGCAATTTGCAAAAACAAAGAGCCTTAGTGAATGTACAGTACCTAGACTTCTGTGTTCCTGGGATGCAGAAGGGAGCAACTTTGCTATTTGGTCCTTTAAGTGGACACATTGTGATATAAATGTGGAAATAAAAAAAATTTGCACAAAGCAGTTTGTGAATTATTTATACTGAACTAATTTATTTTTTAAAATTTGCTCAATTCAGACAAAGTAACAGAACCCATCGGAGCCGTGCGGCGAAGCGGATCCCATCCGGCAGTGCCAGGCACTGCTGTTAGGGTGCAGAGATGTCTTCCAAGTGTGTTGGTGGTATTCGGTCACACAGGTTGGATTGTTTTTAACTCTGGTTGCATCCAGGGGTGAGAGACTGATGACACAATTACTGTTAATGTACCTCAAAGTCTAAAAAATTGTAGTTCATCTTTTCTCAGTAATTTTGTAATATATTATTCCTAATTGTTAAAAATATTTCTAAAGCAGCCTAATTCAGTATAGAAAGCTCAGAATTTCTATTACCTGTATTTGCTTTAACGTTTGGGACAAGTTGTTTTCTACAGTCCCCGCTGCTGGACTTCTGTCCAGGGAAGAGGGGAGGGGACACGATACCAAAAACGTGCTGAGATTCAGTGCTGTTCGTTCTATGAACTCATCTGTGCTGAGTCTCACTGCTGTGGAAGAGCCGTGGTAAAAGTAGTTCTGCCTTTGAGAGCAGAGTCAAAGCTCTTCACTGTCAAAGTGTGATTTTAGAAGTGTTCCGCACCAGGTATACGTTGCTTTGGTTTCTTCCATGGAATACAACTGATAACATTTGGTTTATTTTTAAGTCATTCTTGTTGAAACCTGCTTTTGTGGTTTGACTGGGACTGCAATGTGTGGGAATCTCAGAAATCTTACTGGTGTGTGTTTGCTTCTGTTTCTGAAACCCGAGAACTGCGTGAAACCTAACCAGAAAAAAAGTGGTTACCAAAAATGTTTCCAAGTATATTTTCAGTTTACTTCCATTTTATCCTTCTGCAGTTGATGAAATCAGGCAGTGTGTTTTAGAGTTGCAGAAAGTTACTGTCAGGAAGGTAGATGTGATGGTAGAGGGCTCAGAAGTTGCTCACGTTGGGAAATGTTTATTTTCTGTTTTATGTTTAAAAAAAAAAAATTAAAAAAATGTGCATTTTATTCAAACCCTCCCCGACCCCTCCTCCCTCTTTCCCTGAATGGTCCTATTTAGGAACAGGGTCTGTGCCCTTTTGAGGCCTTTGAATGTGGGGCAAATTTCAGGAAATTACAAAGTACACTTTATAAAAACCATCCTTTATTTTCAGTTGCTTACATTTCTGCTGCAGTCGGTGGCCCGAAAGGTTGAGTGATGTCCTGAGTCCCATGGCTGCTCTCAGATCCCACACAGCTCTCCGGAGCAAACTGGCCGTGCTGATGCTCACTTTGCTTGAGGGAGCTCCGCGTGTTGGACTCGGCCCTTCCCCCGGTGCTGCAGAATCTCCAGGGACATCACTTGCAGTGTGAGCTTTAACTCCCGGTTTGTTTCTGCTGTAAGGGTCAGCTCACTCGGATGTGATCTGGGCTGAGACGAGGCTTGACAATCTTTATTTCAGCATGCTACTATAACCAGTTCTGTGAGCTCCAAAAAATGTGAATAAGTTTACAAGGTGATTTTTTTTGTCAATTTTGTAAACAAGTTCAAATGAAGTTTACCATGTGCATATCTGCTGTGTACTCTCATTTTTGCATGCTCAGTTCCTCTGCTCCTGGATTCTCCCGCTCTGCACAATTTATTCCTGTACTCCTAAAGTCTTAAGTGAACACCGCCCTCCCTGCAGTGAATGACACGGAATGGTTTTGGGAATCGCCGTTAGCTCAGGTGCCTGTTTTTAGAGGTACACAAATGGCGTAGAAACGTCTTTTGAAGGAGCGGATGGAGGACCGCCGTCCTCCCACGGGCTCTTTGTCCCTGCGCCCCCAGCAGCTCCCTGAGGTGCTTTTAAAGGTCTGCAGGGCTCCTCTTCGCCGCGCGCTCTGCTCGGGCCCGGGTTGGCTCCGCTCTCCTGAGGCGGTTCTCGCTGCCCGCCGCGAGGATCCGCGTTGCTCTACGGGCCGCTTTTACGGCTCAGAAATCCCACCCGGTGCGGTGCTTCGTGCGCCGCGTTCTCTCCCCGATTCCTTCACCCTCCCGGGCGGCGCCTGCGGGGCGGGACGGACGGGGCGCAGCGGCTGCCAGAACGGAGCAAAGCAGCGCCGAGGCGGAGAGTTCCGCTCTGAGGGCAGCCCATCCCTCGGCGACCAGAAGCGGCCGGAGGAGGCGGAAGTGACGCAAGCGGAAGTGACACAAGCGGAAGTGACGCCCGCACGCCCCACCGCCCCCTGCCGGCACCCGTAGCGCTGGGCCGGCGCTGAGCTCCGGCGCGGGTCCGCCCCAGGAAGCGACGCGTTGGCGGCGGTGACGTCCCGGGGGCGGCCGTGCGGCTCAGGCAGCCATGGCGGCGGCCCCGCTGGCGGCTCCGGGAGGAGGCGGGACGGCGGCGGCGGCGGGGGGGGCCGGAAGTCGGGGGGGCCGCGGGCCGGCGCTGCGGGAGGGCGCGCGGGTTTCGGCGCTGTGCCTGGCCTGGTACGGGCTGAGCGCCGGCGGGAACGTGGTCAACAAGCTGCTGCTCGGCGGCTTCCCCCGGCCCGTCACCGTCTCGCTCTTCCACATCCTGGGGCTGTGCGGACTCCTCCCGCCGCTGCTGCGCGCCTGGCGGGTCCCGCCGGCCGGCCCGGCCCAGCTGCCGCCCCGCGCCTACCCCCGCTACATCCTGCCGCTCGCCTTCGGCAAATACTTCGCCTCCGTCTCCGCGCACGTCTCGCTCTGGAGGGTCCCGGTCTCGTACGCGCACACGGGTGAGGCCCCGGGCGAAAGCGCGGGGGTGCGCGGGGCGGCGGCCTGAAGCTCGCGGCGTGGCGGTGTTGTCCCGTGGGCCGCAGCGGGAGTGCGGATGGGAGAAGGGTTTGTGTTGGAGGACCTTTAGAGACCTTCCGGTCCGGCTCCCTGCAGTGAGTGGGGACGCCCGCAGCTCCAGCAGGTGCTCGGAGCCTCCTCCTGCCAGACCCAGGCGTGGGGCAGCCAGCGCTCCTCCGGGCAACTTGTGCCAGTGCTTCACCACCTTTTTTCCTCGTGTCTAGTCTAAATCTTCCCTCTTTTGGTTTGAAGCCATTTCCCCTTGTCCTGTCCGTGCCCACCGGGATGCCCCAAGGCCCCACACGCGCTGCTGCCGCTGCCCCTGGTGTGACCTGAAGCCCGCTGTGTGCTCACAGTGCTGCCTGCTGCACGGTGTCCCATCAGCTGTGCCTGTCGGAGCCCGGCGCAGCACTGCGGGATGCGCTGCCTGTTCGTGTGGGTGCCCAGCGTGGTGCCCTGTCCCTGATGTGTGCTCACAGTGCTGCAGTGTCTGTATGGCTGCCTGCTGCAGCACCCTGTGTCCCGGTGTGAGCTCACATCAGTGCCTGCTGCAGGGTCATGGAGCGCTGCAAACTGCCCTGTGATGGCACAGGGACGAGGGGTGACCTCGTGTGGGCTGAGGTTGGGGTTTTGTGGGACTGGACCTGAGCCCCTCCATTCCCAGTGTTCACCTTCTGCTGATGGTGTTTAATGGAGTCGGCTTCGCATCCCCACCAAAATTTTCTTTCCATCCTCAGTAAAAGCGACGATGCCAATATGGGTGGTTCTTCTTTCGCGGATCATTATGAAGGAAAAGCAGACGACGAAGGTGCGGACAGGTTTGCTGAGGTTTCTTCTTTTGCTGGTGTTTGTGGTGTGCTTTGCTCACTGGGATCGGGGAGGTTTGGGTGAATTTTGTGACTAGGATTGCATTTTCCACACATTCTCCATTCCTTTTGCAGGTGTACTTATCTCTTATCCCCATAATAACTGGTGTCCTGTTGGCCACGGTCACTGAGCTGTCCTTTGACATGTGGGGACTCATCAGTGCACTTGCTGCTACTCTGTGCTTTTCACTTCAGAATATTTTCTCAAAGAAGGTAATAGTTCTGCTGTTCCTGTGATTCATCAGAATTTTTGCTTGTTTCTGTTGGCAGCTGATAGTGCTTAGCTGTACCAGCTCATTATGTATCTTGCTGTATCGTATCATTTCTTCATACCAAATGAGTCAGTGTGAACACTGGGCACTCCTTGAAATCATAGGAACAAAGAGACAAAGTTAAAAGGTGTGTCTTGAGTGTATTCCAAAATGGTTCTGGTTTGTGGGACATCTTAAAGTGTACGTTGTTAATCCTGAGGGAGTTGCCCGTCAAGAAACCACTTTTTCAAAGAGAAATCTGTTTTCTTTGGTCATCCTCATTGGAAATTCACACCACACCAGCACTCATTTTCATACTGTAACTGTCGGTTGCAGGAAGTTGTTACTATTACAGGGAGAACGGGGGTGGTTGGGGCACAGCTGTAATGGTGTTCTCCATCAGGTGTTACGGGATTCCCGAATACATCATCTTCGGTTGCTGAACATCCTGGGGTGCCATGCTGTGTTCTTCATGATCCCAACGTGGGTTTTGGTTGATCTTTCTTCCTTCCTGGTAGAGAATGACTTGGTAAGTGTCGCTTTTGGGAAACTCTCCTCTATCAGGATAGGAGGGGGAAAAAAAAAAAACATGCAGAAAATGTTCACTTAGATGGTTCCTCATCAGTGTGGAAGGAACTGTTGTGAAATACCTGCAGACTGTTTCACAGAAAACACAACCAATGAGTGTGGTGTTTCTCATAAGAATTCATGGTGGGGTGAGGAGAGGGAGCCAGTGTGACAGCTGAGGTCCTGGGAAGTAGAGCTGGAGACAGGAGGACAGCTGGAGTGCAGTGCTGTATGCAGGGAGATGCTTTCTCAGAACTGATAGCTGCGTGTTTGGTGCCTCTGTAGAGAAGTTGTAGATGTAGGCAGGAAAGAAGCAACTCATGGTTTATTTCTGTTACTTTCTCAAGTTTCTCATGAGCGACAAACTTATTTAATTGTAATGTTTGTTTTTATGACAGAGCACAATGTCTCATTGGCCCTGGACCTTGATGCTGCTTATAATCAGTGGGTTCTGTAACTTCGCCCAGAACGTCATTGCCTTCAGTATTCTTAACCTGATCAGCCCGTTAAGTTACTC